CTACCTGTGTTTACTTGCACTGTTTCTGTGGCTCATATCCCGTTGTGCTCTATTTTTAAATCCAAGAAAAAAAAAACATTCTTGTGATCAGATTCCTGAGAGGCCAGTGCTGGCAGTGTATGAAATATTTCCATACTGTCAACTTTGTTCCATCTTTATAGTAACAATTGGACAGTCAGTTTAGCAGACTGTGATGTTGATCTGGGGTCACTTAAATGGCAACTTCCTTTTAATCATCTAAATATTTAAAAATCTTAATGGTTTTTGATTTTAAAATATTTTCATGGCAAAAGATTTATATGATTTTGTTGAATATGAGACTTTTTGCTGTAATGTTGAGGAGAACAGGAATGTGTGATTGTGATCTAGCTGCAAACTTTTTTCTGAGAGCACAATAAACTGACAGTGTAATTAGCACAGTGTCATAACCTTCCAGGAGGTTAGTCTCGCCATATAAACTGGACATTTGTAGTTATACAAGAGCTACAGATTGACATGTTGTACAGGGTGCAATTAGCAGTATGCGTGGTTATACCTCAGACTTTGACCTGTTCAGTAATGTTGATACTAATGCCACATAGCAGGCCACACACTCCACCTATAATATCACAATCTCCTGCAAAGTCTTTTCCTTTATCTACAGCACATGCTAATATTTTAGTTAATTCTTTCATTTGGATCATTCAAGGCTTTGGTGATAGTGAGCATACAAGTTAACAGGCAATCAATCAGATTTTAAGTCTGCGTATTCCCTCAGTCTCTCTTCACAGCATCCTGAATTGTTGTCAGTTTTTATCACTGCTGCTTCCAGTTTCCCAGAGTAACGGTTGCATCTTTGGTCCTAATGGGTCCAGGGATAGCTTGGAATAAATGACACAAATGCTTCAGTGTCTAATTCTGGCTCGTTAAAGTTTTTATATACTTAGACTACATATTGCCACCTTTGGGGCAGTGACACACCAAGCTGGCAGTTGGCCGTCGTCGGTGAGCGTCTGTCGGGGCTCGCACCTTTGGCACTAGTCAGCCTATGGTGGTGGCTTTTGGGCTTCGACATGTTGAATCAGTGTTGGTCTCGTCTGTGAGAGAGAGACCACTCTGACTGTTGAGCTTAGCGAATCAATGCACAAGAAGAAAACGGTTCAGGAAAGCCCCTTCAGCCTGTCACTGTAGTATCCTTTATTTCATCCATTTAGTGCGGTTTCTCAGAGAATGGAAATGTCATTTGCAACATTTTATCAGACATATTCTGGATTAGAAGCAGCTCTAAACAGCAGATGCTTTGAACAGGAGGTGTTTTGTTTATAGCTTATACTTCTGCATTCTAGCGAATAAAGATACTGCCACCTGCTGGTAGGGAGAGTTATTTCTGTCACGCAGGCGCAGAATGTACGTGCTAGTTGGCCATTGGCTTTTGTCTGCGCTGTGTGTTCAAGTGCCACTTTTTCAACCCGAATGGCCCAGACATGGCTAGTTGGCATTTGTCGCTGCTAGTTCTTTCATGTTGGATCGGTGCGTCTCTGCCCTGAGTCACAGTGCCTGCCCCGCATGTGCCATTGAATTCTTATCTTTTACAGCACTCCTGTAACCATAACATACTTTTAAAATTGCCACAGTCACCATAGCATCCTTCACAATCCCTCATTTGAAGTCAAAAAAACACAATAATGACAGAGGAGCTTACTAAAATAATGTTCTTTAACTGTAGAATTTCATGAGGCGTATTCCTAAAATACATCCTGTATGATCTAAAAATCCTAAACACACTGGGCCTCAGATGAGCAGAGGAAAGACACTTTTCCCTCACATCTGGATGAATGGAGCAGCGTGTGCCCTTTCAGAAACACGTGGG